TTGAACCCAGGCCTGCTGGGGTGAGAGGTAATCACGCTTACCACTACACCACCGGCGCCGTTTGAATATGTATTTTTGTATGGCAAACAACTATGTAGAATATGTTAAATATACAGTTTTCATTTCGGTGGCACTCTTGTTCCATCTGGCCCTATATTACCCGCCCCCTATGTAATAATAAGTAACGAAAAATCACCCTTTCCCCACATACGTTACATAATTTGTAATGCAAATCATAAAAGATTTTTTTATATTTCTTTTTCAGTTTTAAAAATAATTGTTTCTGTACTTACCCGAATGAATAATTTCAACATTCTCATTCTCATCCATGCATTGTGCGTTTATTGCAAAAATGTGGCGACCCCGACATGACACTGAATCTATTTTCAGGTTCAACAGTCGCCCCTATGCACGCTTACTATAAAGTTGTTTTATTTCCCTTGCCCCTTTATCAACGTACCCAGGTACATCTGCTTCAACGAACATGTAGACTCACTCTAACTCAATTTGTCTCTATCAGCACACTCTGACTCAGACCTCGAGTTAGAAGCATGGTGAATCAGAACGACTAAGCTCAATTACTGAGAGAGAGAAAGTCTGGTTAGATGAACACATTCTCAGCATTTGTCTGTTCTCCCACTGAGTTGAGTCGGAATATTTTTGTTATTGCCTCTGTCCTATTCGTAGTGAGAGCCTGGTTGGAAAGTGAACATTGTGAGTTGTATCTCTCAAATAATGGTACTGAGTTTTCATTGATGCAAAAATTTGCAACATTGAATGTACGTCAATCTAAAATGATCAGTCGAACAAATAAATCATAATTCTTATATTTATGCAGCGCATGAATATTCCATCCAAACATAAAAAAAATAAATATTAAAGAGCAATTTCCTGGATTCGAACCCCTGTATTTGGCATGTGATCTACGAACGCATATCACTGCGCCATAAGTATGATGGAGTGCCATGCGGGCTAACATCAATTTATTAACTCATCAAGGTGTTGTGTTTCGCATTCAAGTCATTCAGCAGGCACTGAAAACTCCAACAGTAGGCAGGACAATAGCTCACTTTAATGTATCTAAGATGGCGTAGTGGTTCGTGCTGGGGCTCTCACAAAGGAGGACAAAAACCTTTGTTAATTTATTTTCTTAAATTTCCGTTCAAGTTCCGCCAGAAGCTGCTTAGAATGCTCTTCAATTATGGTACCGGAACTTTCAAGTTCTTATAACGGCTTAAAAATGAGGCTGCTTAGAATTCTATAGACCACCTTCAACCAAGCTGATTGAGCCACAAATAGCCTTTTATCAGAACTATTGGTTACTTGGGTAGACAAATCAAATCACCTTCTTGTCCAGTCAACCGGTCACAACAAATTAGAATTTAGAATCAAAACTTTTACCCTGGCTTTTACCGCACGCTGCTTTGCAATGCATACCCTTTTTTTGCATGCCTACTTCGATTTAACACCAAGAGTAATTGACGTATGCAGGAGCTGCTCTATGGATAAATGCAAGAAAACGATTATCTGTACACGGTTTACTATAGTTTGATAATAAGCAGATCGGCAGAGAGTACTAAAGAAGACTTATGATTTGGTATGCATTGGCCAGCATTTTAAGTATGCTTTCAAAAGGAACTGGCCTGGTTTGCCCAATTTTGTCCAACTTCGAACTGTTGGCGTTGGAATTAGTGCTAATTTTGGGTCAAAACCTTGAATATGTTAAGACCATTTTAAAGATAGGGACTTGCTTCCCAAAACAAAATGGCGTATTTTATAAAATACAAACATTTGTGTAGAACATACTAATGTCAGAAAGTTGCTTCCTGAATAGTTATTTGCAAAACATTGATTTTCTGAAGGCTCTTACAAAAAAAAAATACATATCTCGGTAACATAAAAGATAGCGGGTTGACGTCCTCAGCAAAAATGTTTGTTTTAATATTGTCTAAAACTTTACTCAAGACACCATTTTGCTATCTCGACAAACAAAAAAGTAAATTTTTCATCCCCTGCTGGGTGGATTAATCATGAAATGGCTTAGTCCATAAGAAGTGTCTTTTAAAGTACACAAACTTTTTCGAAGACACTATATGACTTAAATGGACCGTTTGTGCATAAACTAAACAACGCACGTTTTGACACTTTTGGACCACTGTCCATTGGGCTCCAACGCTCATTTGCAGCACTCCTGCTCGGACTCCAGCAACACACTATCGCTTATTTTCGGTGTCCAATGGGAGATGAGAAGGTGTTCTCACCGATTTGGAGAGAGCGATATTTCCATGGTTTGGATGGGAGAGGAAAGTGAATAATTGTATTAGAATGAGAGTTGAAAATATTGCCCTCTCCTTGGCTAGTTTTCAACCTGGACGTTGGTGGGCGGGCCTAATCTTATGCTTCATAGTGGAGCGTTGGAGACGGTTGGTTTAGGTCCAGCATCGTTGGCTCACTGATAAACCACTGCATGAGAGAACCAAAGATCTAGTCTAGCAGTGATAGTATCACACTTGTTACTCCTTTGTCTGAGAGCCGCGTTGTAGTACGCTTACGTATAGGCACTGACGTTGGATGCGATAATGGCGGGTTTTTCTGCAAATCACTCTTATTTTATTTATTTTTACGCAAATAGATTTATTTGGGTTTGCAGGGGAATTATACTATTAAATATTTCAGAAAGTGCCCAACGTCCCAGTCGGCGCTGCCGGGATGTTCTGAGGCATAACATCTCTGATCACGCCTTCCTTCGGATGGGAAGTAAAGCCGTTGGTCCCCGGTTCATGAGTTGATGGGTCGATAGGTAGGGTCCAGGTGTGGGAGCTGCCTTCCTGGCGTCGGTAGCATTGGTGCTCAGCACGGAAAACAAGATCGACGGAAAACAAACCAAGGAAAAAAAAAAAAAAAAAAAAAGTGCCCAACGGTGCACCTTCTATTTGCGTGACAAGCTTTCATTGTTGTTTTCATTGAGATATTGCTCAGGGAACAATGTTAAACGTCATTTTTGTACATGGTATTGTAACTAATCTTATATATGCTTCATTTTGATCTGGGATAAATGTTTGAACTATGGCTCAGGATTTCCACTGTGGCGTGCTTGTATTGTGACATACCCATATGTATTTTTGTGGTGCGACATACCCAATTAACCACCAAGCCCGCTAACTACCCGATAAACGCCCTTTTTGCGATATAAGGTAAATATAGGGTTTCCGGACTTTATATAAGTCGTATAGCAGCCTTATTTACCAAAAAGGGCGATTAACGGGCTTGTTGGTTACTTGGGTAGTGGAAGCGTGTGAGCGTAGTTGGAGCATATACCCTATATAAATTTAAAAATCAGCTAGGATACTAACGTCGAAGTGAAACATTTTAGTCACTTGACACCTTCAACTGGGACGAACTAATATATAATAAATATAGGTCAAAAACAACTTGAAACACGTTAAATTTCAGATTTCATGCACAAGTGCAGGTACCTAATAAAACATGGGTTATAATTGATAAGTTAGATTAGAGATTTCAATTGTGTATTAAATTAGGCTAATGAGATATCATAATCATCAAACGAACTTAAATACGAAAATTTAGACAGAAAGAGTTAGGATCCGGGGAGTCCGCTTAGGCAGGCAACTAGCCTTTAAAGCAACTGGTTGATGGTTGCTTTAAAATATCCATTTGGTATACACTACCGATCATAAGTTTAAGGACACCCCCAAAAAAAACATGCAAATATGTTTTGTTCAATGATCTCTCATTTTACGTTCAATGTTCGATCTCCAAAGATTATTTGAGTGGTATGAATGGTATAGCATAAGTGTTCTACTACAAATTTTATTTCAAAATTTGGCCAACCCAATTCTGAGAAAATCAGTTACGATTCATCAGAGAAAATTTTGAAAAATATTGGAACTTTGGGTGAACTTTTAGCCAGAAAAATTTGAAAATTATATTGAACAATTTGCCTACGAGGAAAGTTCCATTCAATACCTTTTAAATAATCTAATGAGAACGAAAATTGGACGTACCATGACAGAAATATGAACATAACAAATTTGTCATGTTTTTTTTGGGGGTGTCCTTAAACTTATGATCGGGAGTGTATATGGGAAAGGATGAATCAGTGAGAGATAGATTTTCGGTTTCTCTACATTTTGCAGCACAAATCTAGTACTATGAGTTATTTCCTCAAAACCCCCCAATAACCGACCTCTTCAATCCCTTCTTTTTCCCATCGCGTTCAAATGGTCCGCATTCTCAGCTCTGCGAAACGCAGCTTGAGAGAAGTGTCGCTTATCTTGCAGCTGAGCGAAAATTTAGATCTCTGTTTCAAACATTCCAAAAGTTTGCATTTTCCATGAGCTTTTAATAACAGAAAACAAAAAAATAACATATCGGGGAAATGGCTCCCATGTTTGCCTCTAGATCTAAGATTGGACCCATCACTAAAAATCTGCTGTTTATCAATTTTATCTAGATAAACGCGTCATTGGGACGGTACTAATGGATATTTTGATCGCTTGTGAAAATTTAGTCGATTGTTGAGTTTATGTATGGGCCCAAATTAGGGGCATTTAGGCTGACATTACATACATTTCCTCTATATTTTACGATACATACAATTTTCGCAATATTAAAATTTTTTGTATTTTTTTTCCCGAAAAACATTATTTTTTATTAAAACTTTGTCCTAGGCGTCCTTTCGATAAAAAGTGTCGTGTAGTGCTACATTTTGTTTAATTTCAAAGACGCCATTTTGAAAACGTTACAAGACCTAAAATGGAAGAATTTTAGTGAAAATGTAGATCGTGCCCATAACAAACAATTATACAAAATTTCATGCAAAACGGGGAAGGTCGAGTTTTTCCGATTCGTCATTTGGTCTGGAGCTGCTACAGGAAAAAAATACTTATACAACTAAAACAAGCTTATTCAGCAAGTAATCATTCATATCCAATGCTAAAAAAACACAATTCTTAAGCACATTAATTTTCCCATTTCAGGGTCTGGATGGAGCCTGGCTACGGCACTACAGTTGGCGATGCCAACCGGTGGATTGGACCGATAACCCCCAATCAATGCGGGTAAACCAGAATTCCTTATGCACAGACATAATAAGACAGCTTTTTTTCATAATCTTTCCCTCCTGTGCAGGTCGCCCGCGGTTGCTACGTGTACTTCCTGGCCAAGCTTTCCGAACTGCTCGATACCGTGTTCTTCACGCTGCGGAAAAAGGACAGCCAGATCAGCTTCCTACATCTGTACCACCACACCGTGATGCCAATGATTTCCTGGGGTGCCACCAAGTACTTCCCGGGCGGTCACGGAACTTTCATAGGTTTGATTCATATAAAATCTCATTCCCATTGTTGAAGAATTCATGGAATTCTAACTCCGTTTCGACTTGGTTTTTTTTTTTCAATTTGTACCGTCCATAGGCGTCATTAACTCGTTTGTGCATATCATCATGTATACATACTACATGCTGGCTGCCATCGGACCCCACCTACACAAGTACCTCTGGTGGAAGAAGTACATCACTGATCTGCAGATGGTAAGTTTCAAAGGTTTAACCTCTTCCAATCCCTGTATCACAATTTCGCCCCCTCCGCGATCACAGATCCAGTTCGGAATGGCCTTCATGCACTCGGCCCAGCTTCTGTGGACGGACTGCGGCTACCCACGTTGGTCAGTTTGCTTCACCCTGCCCAATGCCATCTTCTTCTACATGCTGTTCAACGATTTCTACAAGAAGACCTATGGCATGCGGCGGGCAGCTCGGCTGGCGGCCACCCGAGCAAAGGCCGAGGAACTACGGAAAGCCAGGGCCGTTGAGGAAAGCCTGAAGGTACCCGCCCTCACCAATGGAAAACTCGCCGACAAAGAACTGTAGATAGTCCCCGGACGACGACTACGCGCAATTGTTGTACGTAACATGTGAACTGTGTAGATGCCACCTTTGAATAGCTATTTCACAACCGTTGATTCATCGAACTTCCTAACCCTTCCCGTTCACCTTTCCCTTTGAATTCCGTTCATAGAACAAACTCCTGAATTTTGCTCATCGAAATCAACCTTCATAGGTACCAAGCCTACTCATAAGTTAACTGAAAGTTGTGTGCGAGAACCTTCGTTTTGTAAGGACCGTGTTTTTTTTCCTAGCTGTGTAAGGTAATTTTAATTTGAATCTAGTTGAATGAAAGAGACCATCTTTTAAACTGTTTTGTGGAAGAATAAATGAATGACAAAAATGATATAAGAACGAATTTCATTTGAATGACTCGTTGTTTACACTACTTCTTCGAAAAATCCCCGGGTGATGTCAGTTCTTCTCCACACGAATGCTCTTTATTCGGACCAAAAACGGTAAACTTCACGCAAAAAATTTCCAAAGTCCACCGTAAACCAGTTCTATTGACTAGAGGTTCCGTTTGCTTGTGTAAGAGAGTGGAAGAAAAATATTAAGAGACGAACCAGCCAAAGGCTGAATGTCTATATAATAAAGGTATATAAGAAAATCATTCGAACAGGATGTTTAACGTTGGTATGTAAAACGAAACTGGTTCATCGGATCATTCTAGATGGTGAAATCGTATAGAAATTGTATTAATTAAATCAGAAATGTTGAACTGTGGCAGACGAAAGTGAATTCGATGATTTTTTTAACGATCGAATTTCGGGAGTTGTCAATATGAGTGTATGTGTGATTTTTCGTTCGTATAGTAATGGCTGATAATCTCTACCCGCTATTTAAACTTTACTCAGTGACTGAGTAGAATTGTATTGCCCTCTCTTTTTCTCTCACGAAGTTTTGCTCAGTACAGTTGCCGTAAAAAACCTGCGAGAGAAAAGAGAGGTAAGCTCCATCGAGGATACTTCGCGATTTAATATAGATTTGTATATATCTACACGCTAACTTGAAAGTACTCATTAATGAGTAAAAAAATACCCATTTTGAAGAAAAGTGGCTTAACTCATTAATGATTAAACAATTTTACCCACTAATGAGTATCTGTTACCCATTAATGATTAACAATTACTCATTAATGGGTAACAGATACTCATTAATGGGTAAAAAATTTACTCATTTAATGAGTTAAGCCACTTTTCTTTAAAATGGATCTTTTTCAACCATTAATGGGTACTTTAAAGTTAGCGTGAAGATTAAATTGTAATACCCCTTTCGGTACACGGAACCGAAAAATTACCAAAAATTAAGTTCTTTTCACTCATCTCCCATGCATTCAATAAGCTAATTTTCGGTAAACCGCTTATAGTAGTTTACATTTGACTACAGCAAATATAATTACTTATTCGTGAGTATTTTCTACTCAAAATTAAGTTCAATTGACTCAAATTTGAGAATATGTCATATACTCACTAGTAGCTTATTGAACGATAGTCATGAGAAAGTCGAATCTCTCGTTCCGTTTTTGGCAACAACAAAAAGTTAGAGTGGGATGCAAAACTCAAAATTACCCAAAATTAAGTAAAAAGAACTTAAATTCAGGGTATTTTTTTTCTCTGTGTAAGCACCTAGGGAGGATAAAAATTAGGAAGCAAGCAGCCATTCTCTCTCGCATAGAAGATAATGTCAAGATGAGAGTGATTTCAGTTATGCAGCCGGAAGAAGAGTACTAAAGCATTTTTTTTTTTATAATTTCATTTATTTGTCAAGGTTCAATTTCGTTAGCTTTACGGAGCCGAGTTCAATATATATTAACAATATTTCTTATGACTAAACTGCCCATAAAAGCATAACTGTCCCATATGAATAGGAAATCAAGCAAAGATGGGACAATTATGCTTTTATGGGCAGTAAAGTTAGTAGAACGGGGGCCGATTACTCGCGGCTTACTCGAGATTAAGGACATCAATTTTTTTTACAGATTGGACGTGGACTTGGGAGGAGGTACATGGGGGTGAATTGTCGTTTTAATCTCCGTCGCCGTTCAATCGGTGAATGAACGTAGAGGAAGCACTGCGGTGGCGTGCAAGTGCTCTAAACCTGAACGAATGGTGAATGGACGGTTGATGTGACAACTGAAATGCAACACAAAAAGGAGCCTATCTTGGGAGAACGATGACAGATCAATTTAAAAAAAAAAACTTCTAAAGACTCCTAAGTTCTCAAATCGATCCGTTTTAGAAAATTGTAAATCAACTTTATATATTCTAGATCGTGGCTAGCCAGAACGTCTCTAACAGATGTAGCCAGTTGTTTTTCTCGGGCCTTAAGGGATTCGCACAACTCAGATCTGGTTGCACAGTATAACCAACAATCAATACGAAACTAACGATTTTAAATTGACTCACTACTTGACTATTTAGCCTATTGGTCCCAAGCAAACGATTAACGTACCCCATTCTAGTCGAAATTCTAGTACTACACTATGTTTGTTTTGATTCGCTATGAAAGTTTGACAGATAAAATGAGGGGCTCGTAGATTTTCCTATGTTTCGAGGGGTGCATCGATTAGCTTGGGATCGAAGAGAGACCAGAGCTGAGCCAAAAAGTTGAGCTCGTTTCTTCGGGACCTTCTGGTCTTAGAGTTACCTCTATGGTATAACGTACAAGACCAAACAACATGCAAGAACAATAATTGAAATAGGCGGAACAACCAAACGTAAACAATGGCTTTAAACACAAAATTTCTCGAGAATCAAAACGCACCTATGCAAACTAACACCACAGACAAACAGACATAACACTCACCATCACATTCTTCGCAAATAAGGTTTTAGTTGGGAATGTGCTTGCATTTGTCATGGTGGCGCCACTGAAGCGTTAAGCAAGCCACTTCATTTCGAACTTATCACTGATGCCAGTTCTTTTTCAGGTCAATTTAGTATATGTCAGCTCTTGATAAAGATAAGGGGCTAAGGGATTCCACTGGAGACATATACAGTAACGACCCGATTTTGCCAGCCCCTTTTTTGAAAATCTTTTCTTATGTTCTACGAAACCCATGCGCTTTTTCAGTGGTCTTCTTGGACCAAAGTATACCTTAAACACCCATCTTGAATATGCATGAGTATGATTTGGAATAACGATTTTAAGAAATTATGCAATTATAAAAGTCTAATGCGTGGAGCGATCGACAAAATCGGGTCATTAATGTACCACATAATAATCTGACGAATTCAGATAAAAAAAATGTTGAATATTATACTCAAACAGTCAATTGGACATTCCGCTAGTAATGTAATATTTTGCCGTACGATGTATACAGAATTTGTGAACAAATCATTTTAATGAGTGTAATATTGTATCCACTTTTAGTAACTGATGTTCAATACATCATGAATAACATTGATTGATACATATTGTTTGCTTTGTACACATTAAAGTGATGAGCGGTGGTAGAAAGGGCACTCATTAGTGATGCATTACCACATTTAAAAATTTGTTTCCAGCAACAAAAAGATTACACTGAACAATCAAAACAAATCTCTAAAAAAGACTGAGCTTCTGTGAATTTCTCCTACGGATCCGTATATCTGCAAAATTGAATCAATTCTATAGATCTACGGAAAATTTAATAGAACCGACATCACTGACTTCCATCTGTTTTGTTTTAATTCAACACAGCTGACCCGTTGACAGAACGAGGGAAAAGCAACTAGTTAAAAAAATGTATGAACGAGGGATGCTTCGGTTGCTAAGCAATGCTTTGGAATGCGCATGATAGAGAGTGCTAGCATAGAGGTAACTCTAAGACCAGAATGTCCCAATGAAACGAGCTCAATTTTTTTGGCTCAGCTCTGGTACTCTCTTCGGTCCCAAGCTAATCGATGCACCCCTCGAAACATAGAAAAATCCACGAGCCCCTCATTTTATCTGTCAAACTTTCATAGCGAATCAAAACAAACATAGTGTAGTACTAGAATTTATACAAGAAAGAGATACGTCAATCGATTTGCTTGGGACCAATAGGCTAGTCAAGTAGTGAGCCAATTTAAAACCGTTAGTTTCACATTGATTGTTGGTGCTAGTGCGCATGCAAAATACGCTTGACGATATTTTTTGAAGAATTTTCTTATAAGAGTTATGTCTGTTTGTCTGTGCCAACACTGTAATTTGATAAAGTATGTTTATTCTTTCTGATGCTGGTGTTAATTTGCGTTTGCTTGTTCAGTCTACTTCAATCAATGATCTAGAATATTCTGCTCATTGCTTCTTCGCACTCAAAAAAGTCCACACGTATGTTGGGAGTGTTTGGGAACACTTGATTATTCATATGCACAATAATTTTTATTTTAAGTGTATTTCACCATGGTTCAATACGTTCTACACGTTGATTTTTAGTGTTTCAAACGTTGAAATGATATCTAACATGAAGCTATAGTGTGATAATTTATTAGCTAGAGAATGCTCAGAGTGTGCGTTTGACTTGCACTGTCGCATTAATGGCCTAACGGAACTATCTACCTAACCTCTTCTAAGACCATTCTCTAGCTAATAAATTATCACACTAAAGCTTCATGTTAGATAGCATTTCCAACCAACTCTGAAAATCGCAACCTTCGCGTATCATAAAAACACTTTGAATGTTTGAATTGCTGAAAATCATTAACTATCAATTGAAGTGAATTGTACATTGAATCTTACATTTCAATGCGATGTGAATTACTTGTTCTGCAAGGCAAAAATCGAAAACATGAGTTGTGACTGCATCTTTTTCAACTAGCCTCATATATCCCAGTGAAATAGAACGAAGGCAACGGCCGCAGCACACCCCAACAATTCAGGATCAATTTCCAAATCAGACTCATTAAAATGACGCATGCGTAAACTCTGCCCTCTGGCAGCTTTGTTTATATATTTGTCGATTCAATTTTGGAGTCGGTAAAGTAGAAGTCGATAAAGTAGAATCTTGTAGAACATTTAACTGTGATGTGCAAAGCTATTGATATCATCATGTTCGGCACATAGACTCCAAGTGTGAAATTGTTGTGGTTCACAATAAGTGCACAATTAAGTGTGAGACACATGATTGGGGGAGGTAGCTCATCGATTCTTCCGGTTCGCCTCCTAGCATCGTGCTATAAGGTACCAGGCGATAACCAGGGTAGTTGATCGATAGCTCGATGACGTCATTTCGTTGGCGTCTGCAATGGGAAATTCTCATAGCAGGCGTTGACGATGGGACGTTGTCGAGTTGTTGAATAGCAACTATCGTGGTAACTCACCGATTACCTGTCGATCCGCCAAATTTGGAAAGACGTCTGCATTGAATTGTCTCATATAATAATATTCCGCCCA